CAAAGTTCTTACAACAAAAACTAGATGTAACCTACGGAAAAAGTACACATGAGCTATCGGTCTAAAATTTTTACTTACAGTTTCACCTAGAAGTGAAAGTAGACTTTTTTTTGTAGTTTTTTATCATTCGCATAAAAGACGGCTGATTTAGAGCGGCAAAACTATAGGGTGAAAGGACGTGCAGATACCTAAGTATTAGTTAGGCCAGGCAAACTAGATTAGCAGCTTCTAACTCAAGTTTTCAAAAGAATCATACGGGTGGACGGTTAGCATTCATTGTCAACTTTTAAGCATAAATTTGCAAAATTTTAAGAAATTCTCCTAATTAAAGAGCGTTTAGCGTCACGTGATATTAGCTTAAACAATTAGCGGAAATAATGATACTTGATACCGCTGTACCGAGTGCATGCGGGTGATGACAAGAAGCTGTTAATCTAGATTCCACTACGTTACTCTCAAAGAAGTTATTAATTAACACTGTTTAAGAGAGGAAAAACTACCACCATATATTTTAAAGGATCTGGTTGGTTCTGTAAAGTATAGGTCTGTTCCGAATAATAGGGTTGCGATCCTAAAGCTAATATTGGTTACTATCGAGTGTCACTTGTTTACTTGCTGTGGTTTGGTGGTGTATATTGACAAAAAGTCATGATATCTAATCAAAAAGACCTTAGGTGTGAAAAGAAAAGGTGCGGCCAAAAAAAAGAAAAAAACGATTGAGCGTGCGACTTGAAAGAATGAAATCAAAATTGGTGACCAACCTAGTACTTCAGTTATAGTATCAAAAAACTTACCTTTTTAAGTGTAGTAAAATATTAAAGTAAGTATATGTATTTATATGGCTATGTTGGATTAAGGATTCTTATACAGTCGTTGTCTGTGACTTGCTGGCGATAAATTCGACGATAAATGAACACACACTTCACTTATTTTAAAGTAATATATTCAAAACAAGTCAAACATATGTACAAAAATTCTTTATAGTTGTATCTTAAATACTATACAGTTCTCTTCTTGTTGTCAAAAGTCCATTTAGGCCAATTCAATTGCTTTAGAATTCAGTTGACAGGCCGAAATATTTTTATCTTAAACACTATCAGTGTATAACTCACTTAATGTATAATTCACTTATTCCTTTTCTTCTCTCTCTCTTTCTTTTATCACAACAGTATCGGTGTATAATTCACTTAAGTTGTCTTTGAGTTACCGCAGTTGTATCCTTAACTTCCGATACTCATCTGCTTTTTCGTATTTAGGCCTACTTCCAATAAACGTCTGCTTTTCGCATATAGACCTACTTCAAAATAATCGTCTGCTTTTTGTCAGAGTCCACACAGGAAGGTTCCATTGCTTTAGAAAACACCCTTTAACGAGACAAAATATTCTCCTAAAATGTTAGAAAACTGTTAATCTCACTTTAACATATGAACCGTTAAGCTGTTCACTCCTACGACGGTTAATTTTACGTTTTCTAACTTTTCTCTTACCGAAACTCTTTTATGTGACTTTACTTTTTGCTCTCTTCCCGCTCTCTTTTTCGTCTCCTTGCCACTATTTATACGTCTATCACTTAGGCCTTCAAGAAATCTCTATATCTTCGACATCAATGGATTGCACGCGACGTTCGATAGCCTCAACATCAATGAATTATAAACACGACGTACGACTCTTAACGAGTTACGTAACCAAACTTGCCATAACTATCACCTTTAAAATAAGTGCGTTTAATTTTCTTGTTATGAAAAAAAAACTAAACAATAATGAAATATTCACTCACAAAATAAATAAATTTATAATACCTACAGTAAACAGTATTTTATATCTGACATATAGCGCTATTGAGAATTTTACAGCAAATATTCATTCATTAGTTAGCTAGGCCACGTATTTTGTTTTACCCACCATCATGACCCAAGCTGAACAATCTTTTATATTTTATGTGATGATATTTTCGACCATTGATAAATTCGCTATCTAGTTGTCATTACTTGTTGTTTGTGACTTTTGTATGTGTATTGCTATTGCGTTTCCATACTTATTTTCATTGCTATATATGTAAAATTTTGATGAATAATATATTTTCAGTTGTTTTAAATCAGATCTATATCTAGAGTGCATGGGTGAAATTATTCACCCATATAAGACTGATATCACAGCTCTTCCGTGATGTCAGTGCATTTCACCTTCAGAAAACAATGAATAAGAAAAACAATCGGTCTTTCTGTGTACTCACGATGCTGAACGAGTCCCGTGTCCTTGGTGATCTTCATCATCTCTCTCGCTCAGTTTGGCCGAAATTCTACGGATGAATCATATGTTTTCGCTATTAAAGTGTTCTGGCAAGATGTATACATTTATAAAAGTAGACTTTTAATGAACAATATCATAAAATGTTGAATTTTCACTTAAAAAATTTTAGTTTATTATAATTTTACTTAATTGGTTTCTGATAACCTTGCACTAGCCACGCATGTTATTAGTTAAGAGACTCTTTATGGCTGAAAAAAGGTTTTACAGATGGTACAATTCCTTTAACACTATGATTATAATGAATATACAATTATTTGTATTACACGAAAGGGGTACAGGTGATTACTTAGCAACGTACAGCCCTGTAAAAATATATTTTATTATAGATGTACATGATCGCGCCAGCAAAACTGTAAGAAAACAATGTAAATTTATACCATTTATAGAAACGTATTTTAAAGTGAAAATGTATGCGGCTATAGCACTCAAAGGCACTTCTATCAGACATAATCAAAACAACGGATGCAAAAATTAAAAAGCAAAATACAGATTCAATAAGGTATTAGGATCTGAGTGCTAGAACCCACAACGTCTGAAATCCCACTACCACTCACCATCTATAGCAGATTGAGAGTATGATAGTTATCCCCAAAGTCATAAAAATAAAAATCTGATATCATCAACGACCCTTGATGTTTAACAAAAAATATATCATGCACCCTTCACCTTTTTTTAAAAAACTTAAATACTTAGATTTACCTTTAATATACGCAATTCCTAAATTTCATAAAATCTCACTTAAGTTCAGATTTATTACTAATTCATTAAATACTACTACCAAACCCGAAGTTATCATATTAAATAAAATCTTAGATTTTCTACTGTATAAAATAAAATTAAAATCACTTAACATTTCAAAACATGTTTTTTGGATAATAATAATAAAAAAAAACACACACACAAAAAACAAGTACTGGAATGCTTACAATTTTTAAAATTTTCGAATTCAGCCTTCTCTGTTTTGACTTATGATTTCACTAAATAAATAATTTAAAAACGACACTTGTGTAAAAGATCTATTTACAATTTTAACGTTGTACTACTTTTAATTGTAAATATGATTTCGCTACTATATACCAAATCGAATTAAAAGTTTTTAATAGTTTAATAGATGAATTTATTGATGAAAACAGTTATTTCTGAATATAAATTTTCAAGTATTCAATGTAAAAATATTTGTATTTTTGTATATATAATAATTACATAACCTTTAATTATAAAATACCTAAACAAGTAATCGGCATCCCTATGAGATTAATTTATCATCAAAGATGGCTAATTTGTATTTTTATACGTATGAAAATTTATTTATGTACAAAATAACAAGTCCTGATAAGTATGTGTTTATCCTTCGTTATACTGACGATTTTAATATCAATTAATAATCCAAAATTCAATCCTTCCGAAATTTATCCTGAACTTCAATTAGAACACAGTGAAAATTTAATTTACAATGGCCAGCGCACTTTTTAGATTTATATATTAACTTTTTAGAAAATAAAGTGGTGTTAGACATATCTGATAAAAGAAAATAATTTAAATTTCTCATCTTGAGGCTGCTCTCCCCAAATAGTGTGGTACCACATATGCAGTTAAAAAGTATAATTATCTCACAAATTGAAATATATTTAACAATCTTTAATAAAAGAACTTTCTTTACGTATAATTTAGAGCTATTAAAATATAAACTATTATTTAATGACAACTGTAATTTTAAAATTAGTAAAGTCTTCAAATTATTTTGTAATAAATTTTAAAACTTATTAGAAAATATATCCTTTACAAATAATTTGAATGTAATTACTTCTAACTTGAAATATTAATTTTTTTAAATGACACTAGCATATACGATCTTCATACAAAAATTAATGATTTATAATAAAACTTTCAGTATATCTGGGCCGGAAAGAATAACTTCAGGACTGGAAGTGGTAAACTGTTACCCAGGTTTGTTTGAAAGATTAGATTCTCGTCAAGAGGAGAGGTAGGGGTACCAGAACTATAATTACAGCATCATGTTTTATTGGTACTATAAATAAGGGTGGAGGTTGGATGATAAATTTTTTGATAGAAATTGAGGGTAGTTGATGATATCAGATTTCTATTTTTATGTCTTTGGGAGTAAATATCATGCACACGACCAGTTATATACGGTAGGTGGTTGATTGATCTGAGACATTGTGAGTTTTAGCATCGAGATCCTAACCCATTATTGAATCTGTATCTTGCTTTCTAGTTTTGCATTCGCTATTTTGATTATGTCTGTTAGACGGAGTATCCCCAATGCTTTTGGGTGCTATGGCCGCAGAACATTTTACTTTAAAATGATACCATTTTATTTTTATATAAGTGGTATAAGTTTGTATTGTTTTGTTATAGTTTTGCTGGCGAAATCGTGTATTTGTTGGCGCATACATCCCTAATGAAATTGTTATATTTTTTACATATATATTTCTAACATTACCACAGAAGATATATAATTGTCCCACGAGTCAATAATAATTCAACAATACAAATGACTGTAGAATACTTTCACTAGCACTAAAAACGCTCTACTTATCTTGTGATGAAACCATGTGTATTAGTGCAGAATTATCTATATTTTTCCATTTAAACATTTGTAAAGGCCACGAATACACGTGCTGATGCTTGTCTCTGTATATGAACTCATCTCGTGCTCCAAATCTTAAAGTTTTGTGTGAATAAACATACAAATCGCTATCTTAAATTTTCTGCCTTGTCAGAGAATTGAAACATTTGAAGTTGGAAAAAACAACATTCGTAGCCTTTTGACAGGAAAAGTGTGTGTGACTGAAATGAAGACTGAAAGCTATAGAAACCAGTCCCCATTAAACAAATACACCTTAGTTGAAGAGAAAATACACGGGCAATGAAGTGGCGGAGGAGTATGTGTCTCTGCATACAATGACGTATAGCTTGTAACGAGCGTGTGGATTTCAACACCATGCAATTCAGATGTAAGTAATTTTTTCTTTGCCGGTTTAGCGAAGTAAATGTTATGAATATATATAAAAATATTTAATCACGGCTATTTAATTAAAAGTAAAGAATTAAAATATACTAATGGAAATGATGACATAATAAGAAAAAAATGTGGCGTTGAATTCCCTACCTCTACGCTATATCTTTTAATTTAGTCTCTACACATACGTACGGGTTCTCCAGTGCTAAATATAGAGCAGTAGAGATTACACTTACACATTGTATATCGTTCTTACCTTGTTAACTTTTCTTTCCACCACACCAGTAGCGCTACCTTCAATGTGTTTCTATATACGGCGATCTCTACTCAGATGTACTGATGGCTGTCAAAATGTTTTATTAATTCCTTCTTTTTTCTTAAGTGCTTGGAAACCGTAGAACGATTATAAGAGTAATAATCCCAGATTGTTGACATGAAACTCTGATAGGCTTTATGCTGATATTGTTTCTATTTCATATATTTTTTCTTTTTACGCTGACCTTAAATTTTGGATAATCCGTCAACATGGCGTGCTTCCTGTAAGCCAATTTGTAGGATCTCGACATAAGAGTGTGTGTGCGTGTGTGTTTTATAGCAAAGCCACATTGGGTTGTGTCCACTGAGGGGAATCGAACCCTTGATTTTAGCGTTGTAAATTCGTAGACTTGCCGTTGTCTCACCGGGAAGCCAAAGGATAGTAAAAAAATATAATAAAATTTATAAACAAGGATAATATATGCAAATTCAATGACTCGATTGGTGAACAATTTAGTTCAACAACCACAATTTAGTTCAACAACGTACGTTAATCAAGATTTATTTGAATTACCAAGGGCTATTCACAACATAAAAAAACTTACCGAGGAATATTACACGAATATCATGATATTTATTCGAATTAGATCCGAACGGCAGGCCCGGCATGGGCAGGAGGTTAGGGCTCTTGACGCGCAATCTGAGGGTCGCGGGTTCGAATCCCCGTCTCACCAAACTTGCTCTCCCTTTCAGCTGTGGGACGTTATAATGTGAAGGTCAATTCCACAATTCGTTGGTAAAAGAGTAGCCCAAGAGTTGGCGATGGGTAGTGATGACTAACTGCCTTCCGTCTAGTTTTTCACTGCTAAATTAGGGACGGCTAGCGCAGATAGCCCTTTTGTAGCTTTGTGCAAAATTCAAAACAAACCAAGTCCGAACGACAATATTAAAAGTTTAAAAACACACAACTCAAGTAGCTTCTAAATTTATGTTACAAAACAGCTGTCAGGCCTGGCATGGCCATGTGGTTAGAGCACTCCACTCGTAATTTGCGGGTTAGAATCTTATCACCAAACATGCTCGCCCTTTTAGTTGTGGGGGCGTTATAATGTGACGGTCAATCTCACTATTCGTTGGTAAAAATTGTAGTTCAAGAGTTGGCGGTGGGTGGTGTTGACTAATTGCCTTCCCTCTAGTCTATCACATCAAAATCAGGAAAGGCCAACGCAGACAGCCCTCAACAAAACAAACAATACAGCTGTCATTAAGTTAAATATAATCAGAATGGCTAGACAGACAAGACTAACCATAAGTAACAAAATTTTCACTGGTGATAAAGTCAAGGTGCAAAAGGACCGTCATGGCCGGGTGGTTAGGGAGCTCGACTCGCAATCTGTGGTTCGCGGGTTCGAATCCCTGTTCCATCAAGCATGCTTGCCCTTTCAACCGTGGGGGTGACATAAATTGACGGTCAATCCCACTATTCGTTTGTAAAAGAGTAGCCCAAGAGTTGGCGGTAGCCAAGGGTGGTGATGAGTAGCTGCTTTCCCTCTAGTCTTACACTACTAAATTAGGTACGGCTAGCGCAGATAGCCCTCGCGTAGCTTTGCGCGAAATTCAAAAACAAAAGCATAACATAAGGTGCTAAAATGTCATATTTTTTGCTCAAGAAGTAACTAATGCATTTTATTCTACAACGGCATATGAATTGACAGTATTTTCAAGTTTGAAAAACCTTAAAATCACCAAAATCTGAAAACAAGCTAAATAAATTTTGTTTGATTCAGAATTATTGTGCAAAGATACACGAAGAGCTATGTACGTCCAGCCTTTTTAATTTTAAACTGATAGTCCAAAGAAAAGGCAGCTAGTCAACAACACCCACCGCCAATTCTTGGGCTAGTTTTGTTTGATCGAATAGTGGGATTTTACCATAACTCTTACAGCGTATTTATGTGTATGTATCAATTATATTTACGATTATAATTTATATATGTACAATGTATACTTTTGGTAATACTGTGTTATGCCTCCTAATGGCTCAACGGCAAGTTTGAAGACTTATAACGCTAAAAACCTGGTTTCGATGGCCCATTGTGTAGCTTTATACTTAACTACAAACAAAGAAACAATACTGTTTGTTTGTTTTGAATTTCGCGCAAAGCT